AAGGCCCGGTAGGCCGTGGAAATGTCTTTGTTGCTCGGCCTGTGTTTCTTTCAACCAACTGGCGCGTCGCAACTGCCTGTACCCCAAATATGAAAAATTGATAGTCAAAGGCATCTTGTGATAAGTTAGGCCCGCCTTCACTTAGGGCGGGCACCACTGCAACTGGGGCCCCTTAGGCCTGCCGAGGACCCAGATCCTTGCACAATCAAAGAAGCACTTGATAAACAGATCCTACTTTCAAAGGCCTGATCGCTGTATGAGTTTTAAATTTTTTTTTGCTCGAATCGACTAAGATAATAAAGATCGCCAAAAAGCGAAATAAACGGAACACAAACACACCAAAGGTGAGGGAGACGAAACGTATGTATTATGTACTATGTTTTTTTCTTTCCCAATTTGTTGCATGTTTTTTTTCCCTCAATTTACTGCATATTTATTGCATATTTCTCGTGCAATCAAAGAAGCACTTGATAAACAAATCCTACTTTCAACGGCCTAATCGCTGTATGAGTTTTTTTAACTTTTTTTGCTCGAATCGACTAAGATGATAAAGAACACCAAAAAGCGAAATAAACGTAACACAGACACACCAAAGGTGAGGAAAGAGGGGGGCAGGGAGTGGAATAGGAGGGGGCTTGGGGGAAGAAGAGAGTGGAGGGGGGTTGGGGGGGGGGGAAGGGAGTTGGACAAGGAGTGAAAAGGAAGAAGAGCTGTAGACAGAGAAAGGAAACCGGCAAAGAAAAGTTGGGAGCAAATCTCCACAAAAAGCAAGGAGAAGTGGTAGTTACCGCAGCATACCCGGCGACCGCTACGTCAGATTTCCGCATTAAGTCGTCCTCGACCGCCGCCGCGGGATCCACAAAGCCAAATGCAATGTACATAGATCGAGGCACTGCCGCCTCCAGCCCAAAGTCAACAGTGCTGTTGTCCTTGTTGACGGTCCACCGGACACGCACTTTCCCGGCACTCAGCTCCAAGCAATTCTCAAACATGGTAGGCTGTGCCGCCCCCTTCCGCACAGCTCGTAGAAAACTCCCTCCCGATGGATGCGCCCTGTCATCCTTCCACGTCAGACTGGCATCTCCTCCGGAGCTCGGAGGCGAACGTTCAAACTGAGGACCAGGAGCGGGAGTGGAAGATTGCTCTTGAGAGCTCATGTTAGGAAAAACTGTGGCTTGAGGTGTCGGATCAGTAACCGCCTGCAGCTTAACATGACCGTAATCAGTCGCTGTCTCCCTCGACCACACTCCCAAAATGGAGATCCCCTCCCACGATACGTTATCTAACCTAACCTGCTCCACCACAGATATACACGTAGACAAATCGCAATTAAAATTATTGAATTGAATTGGTTTGAAAAAAAAAAGAACTTTTAAAAAGAAGTACATGTAAACTTATTATAAAGTATTATTATATTTTTTATCATATAATATGAACAACTTTTACATCAGGTGGCCGGTGATGTGGAACACGATGTGGAAAAAAATCAGCAGGCGTCTCCGTCAACCACACTCGCAAAATTGAGATATCTGATTATCCTCCGATGATACATTTTTTTCTAGGCTAACCTGATCCAACATATATATATATATATATATATTGTCACATATATATATATATATATATATCGTATAAAAGACCCGACAGAGATGTACATACATATAAAGTTATAAATGTATAAACGCGATTGGTTTCTCCGTTGTTGACCAGTGGAATCGCTATGCTTTGCCTTACGGTGGCTTCGTATACCTTCGGCGGCTGTTTGTTTCGTCAAGCTTCGAGGAAACGGCTTCAGGATTTTTTCAAAGTGTTGTTGTCTTGCGAAATCGAGTCTTTCTTCATTTTGCTCTGTCGGTGTAGATGAGCGTATGAATCTTGTGTTTTTTTTTGTCTTGTGTCGCTAGGGCTCTTCGATCATTTGTTGGTAAATAGACTTGGCTTCAATTTTGCTTAGGTTTGCTACAAGGAATTTTTACTAATTTTGGTCTTCTGTTGGAACAGCTTCGCAGTCTGTTTCTCATGGTAGGGATTATGTCGTGACTTTGTCATCTCTGCCGATTTTCGGATTTAGGTGGTAAACAACACACATTGTACTTTCAGATTTGTTAGGGTTAGGAATTCCTGTTTTAGATCTGATATTTTTCTCTAGGGTTTTTCGGAACTTTTTCCTTTTTTCGATTTTGAGAATTTTGGACTTGTCAATTTTTTCGGTTCCTTTTTCACAAGGGACGGGCTCCACTTGCTGGATGCAGCAGGAGGCCTCGTGACCCCTGAATTTGAAACTTGTCCTCAATTGTATTTTCGCCTTAGGCACTGGGCCCTGATAATAAAGGGGACCTTTCGTAAAAAAAAAAAAAAAAAAAAAAAAAAAAAAAAAAAAAAAAAAAAAAAATATTTTTTATGATTAAAAAAAAAAAAAAAAAAAAAAAAAAAAAAAAAAAAAAAAAAAAAAAAAAAAAAAAAAAAAAAAAAAGTATACATATAGAGCTTATTAAAAACAACTTTTATATGAAGTTATTGAAAACAAGCTTTTTTTTTTCTTTTTTTTTTTTGGAAATAACTTGTCCCTCAGGTGACGTCGAGGGAGCACATTGGACTGCCTCGATGAGATGGTACCGCAAGGAACTCACTTGTCCAAGGTGCAGTCCACCGTGGCCCGTTTGGGAGGGCCTGCACTTCAATGGGCTACTTCTGAGGCCAATAAGGCCCAGAAACAGCTGGCCGATTGGGCTGTTACAGTAGGATTGGACCACATATTTAAGGGCCTGGAGGAGAGGTTCGTCGATTTAGAGAGAGCCAAAAATGCTACTGGAGAGCTTGTGAGGAGGCCAGTCAGAGTGGCAGGGATCCCTCTCCAAGGTCTGCGCCGTTTGGGAAAGGCTAACCTCTACACCTGGGTTGTCCATGTCCGACCAGGACAAGCTGCAATTGTTTGTCCAGGCTACCCGGTAACAAGGACTGGAGGGCCTTTAGCAGAGCAGCCTTGGATCTGGAGGCCCTATTTTCTGCAGGTAACAAGGACTGGAGGGCCTTTGGCAGAGCAGCCTTGGATCTGGAGGCCCTATTTTCTGCAGGTAACAAGGACTGGAGGGCCTTTGGCAGAGCAGCCTTGGATCTGGAGGCCAAACCCTAAATCTAGCCCGCTTCCCAGGTGGGAAGCACCTCCCCTTCTGAGAGTCAGAGGAAGAGCAAAAGGAGGTGGGACTTGATGGAGTCTGTGGAAGACTCTGCAGGCTTTGACCAGAGAGGATCGACTCCCTCAACTGGTCCAGGTGCAGGAGACTTCCCAGACCAGACTTTTCTGACTTTGGCTCAGGAACTGGTAAGCGCCATGAAGGGCACAAATCAGCTCCAGAGACAAAGGTCCCCCTCTCCTACGGGGTCAAGCAAATGCCCTTGTGGACCCCAGAAGCAGAATCTGCCCAAGTTTGCCAAACGTCCAGCTAACCCCATGGATCCTTCCTCTCTCCCGCGGAGGGACTTGCGCATTCCAGACGAGCTATGGCAAACGAGGAAGGATGCCGATGTATGCCTCAGATGTGTTGGGCAACACGTTATCGAGTATTGCCCTTCTTGAGGCAACCACTACGCTGTAACCTGACCTAGTCAGCAGTGGACTCTGCTGAATTGAGTATTCTTTTGTTGAAGAAGGATCAGGTGCAGTTTGGTTGTTTGTAACTTGCCTGTGTGTGCTCAGATGATGGAAACCTCCTCCTGGTATAGCTACCTTGAGACTGATTCCTTCACTCATCCCATTGGTTTGTTTGTGCATCCCCTGTGCTTGAGAATGAGTACGCTAAGTTCCGGGCTGATCCCATTTCTCTCTCAAACACCGCTGATGGACAGACGGTAGTCTGACAAGAATTCCACTGTGGGTTTCAGTGAATCCTTGTCTGACTACGCCCTTGTACTTCCTGTGAGTGGCATTCATTGTCTGATCACGTTCATGTTCTCACACTGAACTGCACTCATTGGATGGATGATCTGTGTTTGACCGAGAGCATGATTAGTAGTACAGATCTTACCTCAAATTCTCCTACACGGTCCTCAGTTTTGCTCTCTCGAGTAGAAATGAGATTTTCAATGTTTCTATCTGGTCACACACTTGTAGCGACAGTGTTCTGAATATTACCTATAGAGCTGTAAATTCCTTTTAACCACTGGGCTTTGTCCTACCGTCTTAACCCGAAAACAAGGTGCGTACCTTCTATACGAATACAAGGTACGGGGTACCTGATATTCGAATACAAGGTACGTACCTTGTAGAACGAATTTTAAGATGCAGCTTTCCTAGGCAAGGTGGAAAAAAATAAAAATATACAGTAAATATTAGTAATAATATCACGAATATAACACAATCGACTGCTACCATGACGGGGTTGCAGCGTGAAGTTCTTTTCTTTTTTTTCTAAAGAAAACATTGACTACGCTGCGTGCTCACGATTCGGTATGCATTCGAACATCACGTGTGTTTGAGTGTGTGTGTGCGTGTGTGTGCGTGTGTGTGCGTGTGTGTGCGTGTGTATGTGCGTGTGTGTGTGTGAGGGAGAGAGAAAGAGCATAGCACCCGTGTGTGGAAGCAGGTGGGTGCATGGACAGCGCACGCCACAGAGAGAGAGAGAGAGAGAGAGAGAGAGAGAGAGAGAGAGAGAGAGAGAGAGAGAGAGAGAGAGAGAGAGAGAGAGAGAGAGAGAGAGNAGAGAGAGAGAGAGAGAGAGAGAGAGAGAGAGAGAGAGAGAGAGAGAGAGAGAGAGAGAGAGAGTTATGTGACAGTTACAAGGCACCCCTCGAATACAAGGTACATACCTTGTAATCGAGGGTACCTTCTATTCAAAAATTTAACAGCGATTTCTTAGAACCCGTTTTTCGGAGGTAACTTGAATACAAGGTACGTACCTTGTTTTCGGGTTAAGACGGTAGTAATGTCTCATCTTGATCGGCCAAAGTCAAATTTGCTTGTGACTAAACTCTCCACTCAGATAGACCTACCCTACACATGACTCTGTCATTTCAAGCGTTATTGCCCAATACGGTCAGACTTAGCCCCCATATACAGATCTTGTCAGATCCTACCCTATTCTTGGGAAGAATCTGCGAGTCACGCTTGCAAATACACAGATCAGCACTTGAGGAGTCTAACTGATACCCAGTCCCGACAGAAATTAATCAGATTTTCAGAATTAATGTATTACAGCAAGGTTGATTACTAGGCTAACACCCTCGCATTCAAGTAAATGGCCAATGATGTTAACCTAAACATCGATCATCTGATTTTCAGGATGTTGTTAGCTATCTATAAGCTGATTACCAGGCTGATACCCTCGCATTCAGCTAGCCAACACTCTCTGATAATAAATATGAGCTACAACCCGTAGATTTTTCAGAAGCTGATTGGTTGCCTAGTAGTTGATTACATGGTTAATACCCTCGCAATTCAACTAATCAATCTAATGATTCTAATCTGATAATCTCACCATAACCCTCTGAGATTTTGAGGTCTTTGCGTTCTCGACCACTATGGACGTTTAGCGATCCTTTAGCTAATACCTCTCCGCCAATATGGCTGGCAGTTCGTTATGTAGCTCGTGGGTCCTCGCTCCCCGGGAGGGTAAGAATGCAATAAATCGCAGTTTCCCAGTCGGGCTGTACACTAAGTGTTCGACTATGTAGATTGTTTACTTGCTGTTTCTTTGTTTTGAGCCTTGCGGGACTTAAGATCCCATGACCTGTAACTCGTGTGTTTTGTTTGTGAGTGTTGCGCTCTATGGGACTTGATCCCTGCGTCTGTCACTGCCGTCTTCACCCGAATACAACGTACGGTCATTGTAGTTGTATTTGGGACAACTTTGACTCTAGTCTAGATACAGTCTAGATGCAGCAATAATGATCGTACCTTGTATGCGGGTGACGACGGTAGTAGGCGCTGTTTGGTAGTCTTAGGCCATTCGGCCTTTTCCTTTTGCCTTCTCATAGGTCTAGGTCCCCTTTTCCCCCTGTTTCCATCCAGATACAAATGAGTCTCAGGTTGTTGCCTTTGGAGTCCGTCGTAGGTCTAGGCAGAGGGTAGAAGTAGCGGGCAGGAAATTTGGTTCGGGTCTTTTCACGTTTTCGTTGGCTGGGGACACTTTGCCTGTTCGCCGTTGGAGCACTGCTGCGCTATTTTGGGTGAGGTCATCTTCTTCCTCGAAGCCCAGACATAGCTGGGGTTGGGATATGGAAGTTGAAGATCGCACTGCTGCTGTTTTGCAGCTCTGCATGAGAGCTTCCACAGGACTGTGTTGTTGGCTTTGCGGAAGTTTGCGCGCTGCCATTTTCCACTTGGCAGCCATATCTGCTGTTCCTCATGAGGACTTCCAGCGGTGCACTTTCGTGCGGGCGCTGAGCTGGCGGTGCTATCATTGGGGTTGCTGGTTCAGATTGGCATGTTGTGACAGCTGTGGGGTTACCCCTGCTACGGCAGCCATAGCCAAGGGGTATGAGGTGGCGAGGAGGAAGAACAAGACTCCTGCATACTTCGTTGAACACTTGTTTTTGGTTGTTTGGGGTTGTTGTAAACGAGGTTGTGATTCTTGGAACAAGTACTCTGGATTGATTGGAGGAGGACGGGGGATTGCAGAATTGAAATTCGTTTTTCAATTCTCTGTGTATTTTGAGCTTCCACTGTGCGTATCTTCTCTCCGGATTTGTGTGGATTTGCCTCCTTCACGTCTACTCTGCAATTGCATGCGTGAATGGGAACGTGTGAATTCGTTGTGGATTGAAGCCCAATCGGGTACATACCAAGGAGGCTGAAATATGGATATGTACGATATATATATCGTCAAATAGAACTGCCCGGTAAACCGTAGGCAGAGAGGGAGAATGTATATATATATATATATCGTCACAAACAGAACTGCCCGGTAAACCGTAGGCAGAGAGAGAGAATATATATATAAAATACATATATATCGTCAAACAGAGTTGCCCGGTAAACCGTATATATATATATCGTCAAATAGATATATATATCGTATATATTGTCACATCACTACAAACTAAAAGAGCGCACTTTGCGGAACAAAGAATAAAAGCAAAAAACGGGCACAGTGATAACATGCAAAAATAAAAATAAAAACAAAAACAAAAACAAAAAACAAGGGCAGATTGAAACCATTAAATTTCTCATTCTTCTTTGAACTCCACCTCCACTGTGCCTCTCACGTGCAAGGCTCGCCACGTTGATGAAGTTGAGCGCGAGCTGCCCCCATC